AACTGGATCTCATCCCCGGTTCATAGTCCGGATCTTCGTCCGAGCCATCGGCGGGCTCGCTCGATTCCGACGGCGATTCCGGGGCGTCCTCATAGTCTTCGCTGTCGAAGTCGTCTTCGAAGCCTCCGACCGGGCGCTCGGGGCTGAACCGCGCGGGGGTTTTCACGATCCTCCCGGAACGCGTCCTCGAAGTGGGACCTCGATCCATCTCCTGCTCACCCCTCCCCGCAGAGTTTCTTAAGACTCCTCATGTCCGCCCTCTTGAAGCGGATCGTGCGAGTGAGGGGCGCGCAGAGCCTCATGATGTCCTCCACATGCCTGGCTCGCATCCCGTAGCCCACCGCGTACGCCGCCACCTCCTCCATCCCGCCGCCATCGCCCGCGCTCTCGGCAGCCGCGGTCGCGATCGCGCAGAAAGCGACCATCCACTCGAGGTCCACATCGGCGCAGACCTCGGTCTCTCCGCGGAGCGTCTTTCCCAGAGCGCACAGCTTCTTCCTCTGCGCGGAGGAGTAAGACGCCTTGCTCCACGCCGACGACGGATTGACCGTCCCCCAGCTCGTCTTCCTCTCGGCCTGCCTGCTCCTGCCCCTTCGCCGCAAGGCGCCCGCTCCCAGGGGCTCGCCGGGCTCGCTGCGCGCCGCAGATCCGGCCGTCCGTCTCCCACGTGAGAGGTAGGAACTCGCTCGCCGCATGCCCGCCATGGAGGCCACCGGCAAGAAATCCCAGCTCTGGGTGGCGTGTACGAAGCTCTCCATGATGTCGTCGTCCACCACACAGTCGGCCACGGCAGACGCCGTCGTCACGTCGTCCCCGCACGCCAAAGGATAGTTCTCCTGCACCAAAGACGCGACTGCATACCCTTCGTCGTCCATCAGCGCCTCCTCGATGTCCTTCGCGCAGTCGGCCTCGTACAGTATCTTGCGAGCCGCCTCGACATCGTCGGTCCTCCTGCGGTCCGCCTCGGAGGCGCAAGCCGGCGCGCCCACGCCACCCCTGCCGTACGCGAATTCCAGGGCGTTCAGGAGCCATCTCGCGTCGCCCTTCGCCTTAGCGCACAACCGCTCCACGTCCCCTCGCACGAATCGCGTCTTCTCGCTCGCCAGGACGTGGTAGGCGAGCTGGAGCAGCCTTCCTTCGCCGAGCCCGGGCATCACGAGGACGCGGGACCTCTTCGCCAATTCCGCCAGCCTCCCCCTCGGCTTGGCCCCGTCCATGGTGCAGATCAGGGGCACGACGTTCCACGGGTTGCGGTGCTCGGACGCCAGGTCGATGAGCACGTCCAGCCCGCAGTTGGTCGCGGTCACCGGGATCGCGTCGATGCCCTCCACGAGGATCGCCTGTCTCCTGAACGCGTAGGTGGAGGTGGCGGTCCTGAGGATGTCCTCCTGGAACGCCGACTTGGTCCTGTTGTCGTTCGCGTTCCTCTCGAGCACCGAGAAGCCGCGCTCCCGCAGCACCTTCATCGCGAGGGCGGTCTTGCCGGAGCCCGAGGGCCCGGCCAGTATCAGCATGCGCTCGCACTCCACGTCGTCGGGGTCCTCCAGCCTGTCCAGCCACCCGTAGGCCGACGCGAGCTGCTCGTCCACGCCGAAGAGCCGATCTCCGTACCTGGCGACCCACGGGCGCCCGTCCATGTTTCGCTGCGAGCTCGCGGTGCCCGCGTTTGCTTATACGGCGAAAGGATTTACGCGCGGCTCTACAAAGGATGGTCGCCGACGAGCGAGAACGAGCGGACACCGCCTTCGAAGACCTGCTGGACGACATCTTGACGAAGCTGTGCGACAGGATACGAGAGAAGACGGTGAACGAGAAGCTCCGACGCATCGTCTTCCCCATCCCGATCTTTCTCCTGAATTACGTGTACGCGATCATCGCTTTCGGTGCGGTCATGATCGTCCTGTCGACGGCCTGCCTCACCGTCCTCATTATGTTGCTCCGCTCGCGGCCTCGGCCCTGAGGCGCTTGAGAGAATTTTCTGGGTCGTTTGTATGCATCGCTCCCGCTCGCCATGTCCAAGGACAACCTGGCCTTCCGGAAGTACGGGATCCGCCCCGCCGCCGACTGGGAGCGCTGGCATAACGCGCATGATCACTTCGAAAACGGTTCGGTGCCCGCGATCCAGCAGGCTCCGGAGGTCGCGCAGGACGGGGCCGATCTCGCGAAGAAGAACGCGGACCTGGCCGTCAAGGTCGCCAACATCTCGCAGAAGCTCGCCAACGGGTCTGAGGGTGCCGATCTCGCCGCATCCCACGCTCGAGACGCAGTGCGAGAGAAGGATGAGGCCGCGAAGGTCGCGAACTTCGCCAACGTGGCGGCGGCGCGAGGCGACCACAGAGGGGCAGCCAACGCCGCCCTCACCGCACTCGACCACGCTCAGAACGCCGGTCAGTACGCCCAGCTCGCCGCCAACGCCGCAGGCAATGCAGGCACCCCGCAGCTCGTCGTCGAGACAACCATGACCAAGGCGCATGATCTCCACGAGCACGCCGAGGGCCGCAAGTCCGGGGTCCTCGAGGCGCTGCGCCGGTACCTCGCCCGGATCCGTGGGGCTAAGCCGTGAGCATTTTTTTCAGAAACCAACTGTAAATGGCACCCAGGGTTCCCGCCGCCAAACGCGGAGGGCACGGCTTCCTGATCGGCTCCGCCGTGGTCCTCGTCGTCGCAGGCATCGCCTGTCTCGTCCTGTGGCTGACGGGCGTGATACCGACGTCCCACAAGGCGGCTCCCGCGGTAGTCGTGCCCGTGCCGGTCGCGACTTCCGTCGACTGCTCCCTCGGGCCCTGGAGTGACTGGGGCGACTGCACTCCGGACGGCACTCGGAGCAGGACGCGCGTCGCCACCGTCCAGCCGGCGAACGGAGGTCAGGCTTGCGGGGCGCTCATAGACACGCAGCCATGCACCTACATCGCTCCCTTCGACGACATCCCATTCGTGACCACCGCCGCAGGAATGGTGGGCGGGAAGCTGGGGCCGGGCCTCACCTGGAAGCAGGCCGTCGGGGCACAGGGCGCCAACGGCTTCACGACGTCCCTGTGGTTCTCGGCTCCGGATGTCGTCACCCAGCAGCAGCTCCTCAACGGCTGGCGCACCGCCGCGGGAGCCGACGTCGGCCCCTTCACCTGGCAGCTGGTGATCCGGGACAAGAAGGTGCAATTCGGCGGCAGCACCGTGAATTACAAGGAGGCAGCCACAGCGGGAACGCTGTCCCCGGGCAGATGGAATCACGTCGCGATGGTTTTCGACGGCGTCAACACCGTGACCCTGTACCTGAACGGAGTCAAGAGCGCCACTAGCTGGACCAACACCCTGTACAACGATGCGCACATCCTGCTCGGCGTCCTGGGGGGTGGCGGCCAGGTGTTCACCGGCCAGATGAAGAACTTTGCGATATTCGCGGGAGCGCTCTCCGATGCCGCATGCAACTCTCTCTACATCCACGCGACGGAGCTGACCTTCCTGTCCGACGCCAAGAAGGTGTTGCTCCGTTACGACACAGCGCAAGGATTCGTCTACTCTTGATGTTCGAGTTCGAAAAACGTAGGGCGACCCCCGGATGCTTCGGATCCGAGCTTGCGAGGTCTCTTACGTTTTTTGAAGACTGGCGTGTGAGTCGACGGGGTCAAGCTATGCTCATGAGGACGTCCGTCACGAGGCAGAGCTCCGGCGGTAGGGGCAGGGTTTCAGCGAGGCATCGGCCCGTACCGTCCGGCATGAGGGACGGCGGGAGCTCCCAGCTCGACGGGTGGTTGAAGAGCAGAGGGGGCGCCTCCGCCTCCCTCGGAAAGGCGATGAGACAGAGAGCGATGAGCGCGAACCGTACGTTGGGGTGTTTGACCATATATGGATGCTCGCATGCAGGGGTACCCTGTAGGAGAGAAAAAATGCGGGCTCAGGAGAGACGGAGATCGCCGTACTTTTTCTCGCCGTTGGCATCGAACAGCCCCCAGCTACGTTCGTACTCTGCCCGGCCGCCGACCGTATCCTTCATGTCCTCGTCGATGAAGGCGAAGAGGAAGGCGGGGATGGGCTTCCGGATGCGGGGCGTGCCCCGGCGCCTCCTCTCCAAGAAACTCCTCAGGAAGGCCTCGGCGTTGCGCCGGTGGAAGCAGTGGCCGCCCGCGGTGGCCCAACCCACCTCCCCGATGACGAAGTCGTCCGTGGCGTAGCCCACCCTCTCGATGGCCGCGTAGACCGCGTCTATCTGAGCGTCGAAGAGATTGTCGTAGCGCCTGCCGGCGTCGTCGTAGCCACCGGCCCCGCGTTCGCCGGTCGCGAAGGGGGTCTCGATGGAGGGGTTCTCGTGCAGCGTGATGGGAGGATACACGTTGATCATGAAGCTGCCCCCGTTGTTCCGTAAAAAGTAGAGGACGTCCTTGACGACCCCCTCGCAATCGGGCCTGAGTCGTCCGGCCGAGGGTGGGTACGAGACCTCCAAGATGGACATGTCGAACGGAGTCGTCAGCTTGATCCTGTCGGCCACTCCCACCGCCTCGAATGCGGCCCGGAGACCGAGGAACACCGGCATGAGCAACGCCGAATAGCGACCGCCGTGCCACGATGCCGTAGCTTCGTTCCCGACGGCCACCGTGTCGATGAGCACGTTGCGGTTCAGATACGACCGGAGCATGGCGGCGTACTCGTCGCACGCGCGGCGGGAGTTCGCGTACTCGGCCAACTCGCCGTTTGGGATGGCGACCGTCACCCTCAGGCCCGAATTGACCAGAGCGTCCAGCGTGCCCCTGTCGGAATCGAACAGCTTGATCGCGTTCGCGCCCAGCGACCTGATCTTTTCGATGGCTTGCGTGTGAGGCATCGGCCTGGAGGACAGCCTGCCGTAGTTGACGCCTATCTTGTCGCCCATCGCCGTTCTCATACGCTGACAAAATAACTCCGTCGAGCAATAAAAGGCCCTCCGTATGTAAGATATGCTGTACCGGGTGGTCCAGATTATATACTTGGTGCTTATCATAACGGTCATGTTCGTCGTCAGCCGGCGCACCCCACTGTGGAAGCATCCTCCCTCCGCGCCGGCCAAGAACGTGGCGCTCATCGCGGAAGGGAACCAGCGCATGCGCCTCTTCATACAGTGGCTCCGCACGCACCCCGACCCCCGAGTCCGAAACGACCCCGACGTCCGCCGACTGGTGTGCAGGTGGGACGCCAAAAGGACCTTCGTCAGGCCGATTCCCCCGTCCGAGGGCGTCGCCGCCTACACTCGCAACAAGGGGACCGACCTCATGCTGTGCGTGCCCGACGACGAGAAGGAGTCCAAAGACTACAACACCATGACCTTCGTGCTGGTGCACGAGCTCGCCCACATCGCCAGCTCCACCACC